GTGTGCATGGTTGCCATGAATTGTACAGTGAATGTAAGAATACCTGGAAGAGCTAAACAGATGTCAGCAATTTTATTGTTGCTATAAAACCAATAGTTTCTTGATAAATGATAAATAATTCCTTTCCAACAAAGAAAACTGAAAAAATACTGTAATTCCCTTTGTAATTTAGAAGCCCATGTACTCCATCCATACTGGCTGTCCTCTGACCTATACTATGAAAGTAGACCTAATATAACTAGTTTAGGTATCTAAATATTTCATTTCCCTACATTTCATTTCATTTCCTACATTTTTGTTTACAGGAAAAGCATCACATTAAACTGAGCTATAATCACAACTACCTCTTTTCTGCTTTTTAACATATGTATCAATGGTGGGATTCAAATATGTGAACAAGCGGTTCTCTGTGTGGATGCTGCTTCTGGAAGTCCGTTCTGGGCCTGGGCAACAAAAAATTAGCTATTGGTTCTGCCAAAGTGGTGCGAACCGGCTGAATCCCACCACTGATATGTATGATCCTAATTTACCAGATCCATTCTTTTCAAAATGTACTTTATTAAAAAAACAAGTACTACTGTTTAAAAAAATTGTATATTCTATGAATGTTGCACATGCTCAAAAGGGAGGATTTCAGTAGGCTTATGAGAAACCAGTCCTTTGCAAATAAATACATGAAATAATTGGAGAACATCCTTAAAAACATAACCAAATGAGTACTGAGCTTATTAAACTACAGTATCATATAATGCATATAACGTTAGCAGACTAGAAAAAGATGTATTTGAGCTACTGGCCAACATCTGAATTCTGCATTTTCTTCTTTCTATATGTAGACATGCAAAAACAGCCTGATGCTTAGACTTTCCTTTGTGGTAGCACTGAGATTTACTTTCAAAGTCATCGGTTTCCACATAATAATTCCAAATAAATAAATTATCCACCATAAAAGGTCCCATAAGTCACTAATTTGTCATTACAGTGGACATGCAGGTCAAATTAATTTGATATTTACCTAATTTAGTGGGGAACCAATAAATCTGATAAATAAATATATATATATATTTGATAAATAAATATTTCTAACAGCAGCACTCAGGATTTCAGAGCTTGAAATCTAGTATGGTGGAAGCTGGAGAGCCACACTGGGCAACTGTGTCCATCACACATCTCCTTTAGAAAGAAAACCTGGTCTGTTTGAACAGATCTGAAAAAGTTTTTTCAGACTTTTGTTCTTTTGGTAAGATAAGTACTTAGCAGCAGTTGGGAGAATGGAAAGCTCATTGGTAGAAGTTTGACAGAAATATTAAACTAATAATTAAAGCAAGATTTAGACCACGTAGAATTGGATTCAATTGTTAACTCCTCTGTCTTATTAGCTAAGTTCACACATTGCACTATAAACTAGATAGTCAAATTCATACACCATGCAACTAAGTTTGCTTGCTTTAGATTGTGTGAGCCCTGCTATGTTGCTGTGTTGTAGGAACCCAGATAATTGTGGTTAATTCAATAAACCTAAACTGTTTAGCATGATGTATAAACCCAGTCATATCAGTTTGTTTCTCAGAACATTAAATCAGAAACCATGGTTTATGATACCTAACAGCTAAATTACACATTGTTATTAAGGCAAAATGTAACAAATCACAGTATGACTTAACCGTGCTATGCAGATCAAGATAATGATTTACTTTGGAACAGACTAGACTGCTTCACAAGCCTTGTGGGAGGATAACTTTGGAAGAAAAAATATATCACAATCGTTTTAGAAGAATGGTAGGATTAAAAAATGAATAAATTTAGCAGTTTACTCCCACACACTTGGCAGCATTTCGGATTGAAAAATCAAAGGTAAACATGGTTCTCAGCCATCTTGGCCTTGCCTTCTGGTGTTTGTTTAAACTGAAGCAAATGCAGCAAGATCACAGATTCTTTCCTACTGCAAAACCTATGGATAGTTAATAAATACAATATTAGACCATACCGTATTTTGGAGACCTTCCTTGGAAAGAACTGGCTTCTCAACAAACTAAATGTTATTGTTTACAAGGTAAGAAATCTGGAGAGTGTGAGCTTTGTCATCTTCTAACATGACGGTTTATTCTGGGAATTGTGAATCACAGCATTTTGCCTTAAATAGAAAAGAAAGCAACTGGAGATTTGCTTTATTCAGCTGTCCAGTAGCATTGGCCCAATAATATTTCCTGGCTCTGTGCTGGTTTTTAGCTCTTCCATGAGTGTCCTCTGATGACCTTCATATAATATTGATGGAACTGGTGTGTATGTACATAGATCCATATATATTGATTCCATAATGTAGGACTATAGATCATTTTATATGCTTTATAGTTTTGTACATTACTTTCATGTTTTTGCTATTTTCTTTGTTCATTTGCATCTCTAAACTGCTTTTCCCTGTAATCTTTCAAGATTTGTGAAAATAAGAACTGAAATACTTTCTGTACTATAAATAAACTTTTAAAGATTTTCCTCACAAAATCACACCTAAGGCCACCCTTACAGACATAGTATACAAGTATACTTTTACAGAAAAGTATAACCCTTTTCTTGTACTTTTAAGAACATATATTTTTCATCTTGGAGGAGATTTTGAGAGGAGAGCTAATTGAAAATGGCTGCAGGAGAAGGTCCTTAATCCATTGTGTGAACAGGGATAGGTGGGAGAAATAGTTATGGGTACACAAGTTGAACATTGCAAATAAATGAAACTACCTGAAATCTCTAATGAATTTCTTTTTCTCTTCAAAAAAAAAAAAGATTATGGCCGATTGCCCTAGGAATGGTAAGCATGCAAAACAAAATAGCAGAATCATTAGAATTTGTAGACAAAGCCCCAGATACAGCAGCTATTCTTCCTATAGCCAAAATTTGTGCCATGGTCCATCAAATGACTCCCAAAATTGGAAAAGTGCCAAGTTGCATAGATCCTGAGCTTTACCTGGATCTTGCCAACAAGTTCTTTGTGCCAATGTTTTGTTTGCTTTGTTACATTTTTACTTTAAATTGGTCAATGATCATAACAAAGATGTAATTTGGAAAGAAAGCAGTGCATAGCTTCAACAAGTTAAAACAAAAAAGATATTTGAGATCCACCCTCATCACAACTGTTTGAAGCTACCGTAGTATAACTATTGTGGCTCCTGGAGAGAAGCTATAATTTTCAGAGGTGTTGAAAATTCATTAGAAAGCTTTGGAGTACGTCCAAATTGAGCGTTTCTGCTGCTAATAATAATTTTGAGATTACTATCAGATGATTTTGTCTTTCCTAAGTTTTTTCTGGTAAGAAAAAATAGGAAGAAAACTTTGGGAAGCCATGGGTGGGTTGCAAAAGTGATATTCACACTCGTCTCAGTAAATTTGGTGCAATTAGGGTAATTGGCCAATAAAAAGTTCATTTGTTAATACCTTTACTTTCTGTAGAGAAATTCCTGCCTCTGAGCTTTTGAGAGGTACATAAAACTGAATCCCGCTTATAATGACTAGATGTGTGGTACCCTTTATAAACCCAGGACCAGCTTAATTGTTCATCACGCTTGGGCAGAGAACATAGTTTTGCTTTTTGGACAAAGCTAAATTCCTGTGCAAACTGCAAAAGTTCCTCAGAAGTCTTATCCCAAAAATGGTGATGTATCATTTCAGTTTTTGCTCACATAAGGAACTAGTCCAGTCTTGCTCATTGTTTTCAGCATGGAAGTGTCCCTTAAACTGCACCAAAGTAATTGCCCTACGTGCTATAAACCTGAGCTGGCTTTGTGTATGTACAGGTCTGTCAAAGCCATTGTGTATGCTTGTTCTGTACACAAAGGCCCATACATTTAGGGAGAAAAACTTACTCCACCTAATGATGAACCTTTTTAATTTGACCCAGGGTCAATGGATAAAAATAGCTTATTTGGCACCTTTAGCAACTTGGTGCTTGGTAACAATTAGATCAAATCCATTTTTATGATCTGGAACAATGCACATGTGGGCAACAAAGAATCAAATAGGGAAAAAAGTTTCACCATATTCTGGAGAGGTTGAGAGTTTGGCCTGATCGGAAATCGCAAACAAGGGCTTTGCAGCGTGCTGCATTCCCATTGCTGAGAGTCCCTTTGGAAGTCTCTTGTGTGCCTGGTTTTGTGTAATGAAGTACCCTGGCATCTACTATTTACCTCCTCTGGGGGAAGTACTGCAAACACCAGGGTCATCATGCGAGCTATTACCGATTACTTTATATGGCATGTTTTCTGACTTTGGAATGCTCTACCAAAGTCTTAATTCTTTCTGGGCCATTTCCCAGACTGCCAGAGATCAGCATAAGCTACTCTACTCAGGGAGAGGATAAAATGGACTGTGGAAACAATCCCCCGAATTTCAAATCCTTCCCTTTTGAGTTTGCTTTTTTTTTTTGCATTTAGGGATTTCTGTACAATTCCTTCCCCCCCCCCGCTTTTATTTTTGAAATAGAAACAGTTTACAGATGGTTTAAATTGGTCGATCCAGAGGTCTTCACTCCTCAATTGTGTGAAGCAGCAAGTATTTCCTGAGCATATGTAACGTTTCTGTTTTCCTCCAGAAAGAGTAACCACAGCCCTCTCCTCCACACCCCCCCCCCGTATTTGTTTTCAAATACGGCAACCCTAAGCATCTCACAATTTGTTTCTTCACACAAAGGTTTGCAAGACCCGGCTAGCCGAATGTCAGCCCTGGGCGCCCCACCTCTCCACCCAACGGGATCGCCTTTCCTGCTTAGCCAGTCCCGCTTGAAGTCACCGGCGGCGCCCACGCCGCACCCTCCCCGGCGACATCACCCCCAGCAGCGACTCCAGGGGGAGCCTTCAGGCCGCAGGAGGGGCTTCCCACCGCCGCGCATGCGCTCCTAGCGAACGGCGCTCAAGGGGCTTGGCTGAATGGTGAGGTGGGCGGGGCTGTTCTCTCCGGCCCGAGAGGAGCGCGAGATATATATATAAGGCTCGCTCTCGTCTGCGCGGCGGCGGCGGCGGCGAGCGCACTGGAACTTTAGTGGCCCCTCCGTGATCCGAGGCGGAGAGACTGCCCCGCGCGGGCCCTGCAGGTAGGTAGCCCATTTTATGGGGGAGACGGGAAGGCGGTAGATTTGGCCTTTCCTGGGAGAGCTCTGGCATAGCCTCGAGGGGACGGGACGGGGGGGGGGAGCGGCGCGCCTGGCCATTGAAGTACGTCCCGAGACGTGAGTTGTATCTCGGTTGTAGCCCGGATCGCGTCGTAGCAGTGCAAAGTGAGCGCCCTTGAGCAAACGGCGGTGGGTCCCGCTTGCTTTCCTCGCACCTCTCTGCCTCCCCCCCCACCCCGCATCTTCGGCGCGTGTCCCGGCGGTGGAAAGAGCCGGGCGCCCCGAGTAAGTCATCTACTCCCCTTCCCTCCGAGCCCCGTTTCTATCTTGCCGCCGAGGGCCAGACCGTTGCAAGCGCGCCCGAGTCCGGGTTGCTGCGACAACCGTCGGGGGTGCTCCGCGGCCCTCGTGGCGCCTGCCGCGATGGGCATGATCTTAGCTCCTGGATGTTACCGGCTTTCCCGGCTTCCTTTGCCGGATCGGAACGCCCGTTTTCTGGGAGTGAGCGGGGCTGCAATCGACGGCAGGCTCGCCTCTCAATCGGGGAACGGATCGGGCTTTGGGTCCTGCTGCGGCCGAAGGAGAAAGTGGCTTCAGGGGCTTTTCGTGAAGGGAGGAAACGTGAACATTACCCTTCCCTGAAATTAGCTATTTCGGTCTGTTGGACTACATCCCTCGCCCCAGCCGTCGATGCCATTGGTTATGGATGGTGGGAGTTTTGTTGCCCAATGCATCTGGACTGTCCCAAGGTGGGGAAGTCTCCTGTATACGGTAGTATTCTGTCACAGGTTGCCTCCTAGCAAATGGACCGCTAGCACCCATACAAGTAAAATAATGTATTAAATTTGAGCACAAAGATACTGTATATAAATGACAACAGGGAGTCATTTATATACAGTATCTTTGTGCTCAAATTTAATACATTATTTTACTTGTATGGGTACTAGCGGTATTTTAAGTTGTGATATAGTCTGGCTTTTAGCTGTGATTTAGTCTGGCTTTTGTAGTGGGCCTGAGCTGGGGTGCTATTAAGATGGTAAAGCATAGCTCTTCTCTGGCATTTTAACTGTAGGACTGTTTTTTTTTAAAAAAAATCTGATTGTGAATAGATTTGGAAGGGATGTTGTGATAAATACCCCCTCCACACAAACAGTATATCTCTGAAAACAAGACAGTAGGAAGAATCCTAGTTGTTCTTTAATGGAGTTTTAGAAACGTTTGTGTGCCCACGATCAAGAAACAGGATTCTGAGCAAAATGATCTCTTGATCTTATCCAGTGGAGTTCTTATTTTGATAGCTTAAAGAAATTGTTCTAGGGGAACAAATAAACTAAATGACATGCTTGTATATGTGTGTTTCTTTCTTACTCTGATATCAACTGTGATGTGAAGGGACACCCTAACCAAAAGAAAGTTCAGTTCCTAAGTGTCAAAACTCTTTCTTAATTTTAAGGAGAGTGTGGTTGAACAGGGCTATTGCATTATTAAATCATTTATCTTAAACAAGATTAGTGAGGAAAAAGATTTCCAAATGGGGTTGGGGTTGGGATTAATACTCCCTGGCTATTACTCATCTGGTTCTTTCCATTTCGGAGAACTGCCAGCTGAATCCACATAATGAATAAACTTCTTCTGGAGATGTGCAGGGTTAGAGAGAAAGAAAGCCTATTCATTCTCCATGTCTTCCATTGCCCTCCACTCCAAAGTGATCTTACTCTGAAAAGAAAAGATGAAACTTCTGATCTTTGCCAATATTAGGGATTTTAAACATGCTATCTCCTGGGACAGAACTTGCTTCCTTGAAGTTGAGAGATTTGTGTGCAAAACAAAAATCCATTGGGTCATTCTCAGCTAGGTAATGAAATAAGAGATATGTTTTCCTTTCCCAAAGTGAAGGGGGAAAATGTGAAGGGATATTTCTTTTTATTTCTAAAATATTTCTTTTTATTTCTAAAAGTTTTATTACAGAGGAGTATTTTTGTGTTAAACTTTGCAAAGGAATTGGAGGCTACTTATTAAAAACTAAAATTCGATAGACTTTTTCTTTAGTGCTGGTAAATGTATGGAAAAGTTTCTGCCTTTTTTTTACTAGTACAGTGGACTCCAGCATTGCTGAGTGTTTTTACTTTCAAGACAGTGTAATAGTGCATGAGTAATTTTATTCTCTTCTGCTTCAAGGCAGAAGCCTCTCCTTGTTCCCTACTTTTTAGTTAATGCCTGCCGGTGGATTGATTACCTTTCCAGTTTAGGTTTGTGTTCTACTTTGGGATCCTTGGATCATTAGGGATTCTAATGGGGATCAAGAAGGGGAAGCAAGTGATGAAATGTGTGACTGACCTCATGAAATGAACTCTGTGACTTATGTATATACTGTATGTCTGATGGGACAGAATTTATCTCATGATGTTGGTATGTGTGTTATCATTTCCTTGCCAGCGTGGTTGCCAGTAGATGCTATACTATGGTCAACTTCCTTGGTGGAGTTCTTGGTGCTCTCTGAGCTTGGTTGTTTGCTTTCAGATGTTTCATTCCCTAACTAGGTAACATCATCAATGTGTGTAGTATTTCAGCAGTGAAATGTTTGTTCAATGAAACAACCAACCTCAGAGAGCACCAAGAATTCCACAGTTCCAGTAGAAGAGAGTATCTGTAACTCTGGAGTGGAGTTACAGATATTCTCTTCTATTGGAACTTCCTTAGTGCCTGTCAATTACTCTGCCTTGCCTGACCTAAGTTTTTGAAAGATTCTAAATTTAAAGCACAGGGACAGGCAACCAGGACATTTGGGAAGGCTGTAGGCAGGGGACACAGCCTGGAGTTCAATCCTGACCTGCTCAAGGTTGACTCAGTCTTCCATCCTCTGAGGTCAGAAAAAGGAGGACCCAGATTGTTGGGGGACAATATACTGACATAGTAAACCACTCAGTGAGTACTGTAAAGTGTAAAGCACTATGGATCAGTATATAGGTCTAAGTGCTACTGCTATTCAGCCACAGTGCATTTGGGGTGGGAATTTTGGAAACTGCTGTAAAATAACTGCAGAATCAAGCTCAGAGCAGATTCCACCTTGTTTGCAACCCTTAAGACTGTAGGTCTAAACATGTATTAAATATATTATGGCCATCTACTCTGAGTGGCTGACAATATCCAGATATACAATTAAAACTAAATTAAAGGTATCTATTGTAAGCCACGGTGACACCAAAATAAACCTGTGTCATAATACAGATGACAAAATTCTGTGCTTGCATCATGAGGTCTTTTGAGGTATATCAATCATATCATTTGCATGATGATGTTATGACACCTTTGTCATAATTTATTCTCTTGTAGAGTCTTGTGTTTGCAGTGTGTCCACAATTGCTTTAGCATTATCTTTACTTACAGAAGGCCTTATAGGTAGAAAATAAAAATGATGGATGGTTACAGCCCATTCTTTATAATAACCAGGTCAGAAAAAAGACAAAAAATGGGTTGTGGAAAGCATTCATTTGGGATGAATTGTGGAAATTTGTCGGTTTACTTTTTGATAAATGAATGTTTTATGATTGGATATGCATATCAGGACAGCCATTTTGGGAAAACACTAGTAACATGTACACAAAATTTCAAATGTGCCTATTGGCTCCTAAAAGATTGTTAAGCCTGCTTGAATATAATTTCTTCATTTCAACCTTAATGCTAATCTCAACACTTCAAACCTTCCTCCCAGCCAGTATAGATATATATGCCTGTTAGTTTAGAACAACAGCGATGAAGTGATTTCTGATTCATGTAAACAAATACATTTGTTATTCTTTAAAAATGCCAGAGTCTCTTTCTGGAATCTCTGTGGTTCCTGTCTCTTTCCTTTTCAGCACACAAATCCTAGCAGTGCCTGTTGGTGTATGTAGGTATGTTACCCTATCTAACTGACACATTGCTTCAAAACTTGGTCGCTACCGAGAAAAACATAAGAGATTAATAAGGCAGAAAGTTTACTGTATGAAAACCTTTCTCTGCTTACTAGTGTTTTCCTGCATTTAGACAGAGCCTTTCTTTTTCTCAATGCCTCGATTAACCTTTATTTCTCCATATCCAGTATGTTTTATCACAAGGACAGCTGACTATATTATTGTAGTTTTCTAACTACAAAGCAAACAATGTTCCAATCAAGAAACTACTAACTCAGACAAATAAGCTAACACTAAACACCAGCCCAGTCAAGGAACCACCAAGTCCACTCTCATGAAGAGTGACAGAGCAAGCCGTTAGTATATAAAATGAGAGTAAACCCCACTCCCTTACTTGCACTTAAGATGTTACCTAGTTGATAATGAAACATCTGCAAAAAGCAATCAAGCTCAGAGAGCACCAAGGACCCCATAAGTTAAAAGTCCTAAAAGACTTTCCCACTGTCTGGGGAATTCTGAGAGTTGAAGTCCAGACATCTTAAAGCTACAAAAGTTGAGAAGCATAGAGGTAGCCTGAGACTGCAAGAGCTGTGTAACACAGGATGCTACCACTCTTTATCCTGGTACTTTTGGCTGGAGATGCTCTGGTGAATCTGAGGATGCTGTAGAAACCTTGCACCAGGCGGACAAATAACTGATGAGTGAGCTCTTGTTATGAGGCCTAAGACATTCCTCCTGCCCGTCCAGGCATGTTTTGCCAACTCAGGTTTGGGAGGAGGTGGGAGAAATCTCGGCTCTCAAGATTCTTCCAGCAAAGCATGTTCCTCTGAGATTCCCAAGGAGAGAAGATATTAAACTCTTGGAAATGTTTCAAGCTCTGAAGCAGCCCAAGGGTGCAAGGAAAGGATGGTTCAAGCTCGTGTGCTGCCAGAATTTTTTCTCAGGGAGCGGATGGGGGGGGGGTCATACTCCCCCTCCCCGTTGGTCTTCACGATATACATTCCCATCTATCCTGCCTTAAAAGAAAGCCATGTTTTGGGTGTGGGAGTACATTTTTCTTTTCTCCTTCTGATTTGGCCTGATTTCCATTAGATCAAATAAGAACCAAGTTGACACTTGGGAGAGTTCCCAGTGAGTGCTGCAGCCTTGATGAGCAAGCCTTGGAACATGACAGTAATGCTTGCCTTATATAGACAACGCACCGCCTGTGGGAAATGGAGGAAGCAAAGGAAGGGCTTTGTGTTCAGAGGAAACCTTTCCTGCTTACAGTGCAGGGAGGAGATTTTAATCAGCTTATGTTGTAAGGAGATAGAGGATAGCCATATCTAAGCCGTATCTTCTTTTTAAGTGATTGTCCACTAGGGCTTCAAGGTCCCTCTCACAGTTAGTGTTTTTGAGCCAGGTTTTGCCTAATTTATACTTGTACTTTTAGTTTTTCTTACCTGTGTAAAACCTCGCTTTTCTCCACGTTAAATTTATAAATAAATTTTATTAAATTTATTTATGTATAGGAAGTTGGTTGTCAGTAAAGACAGTGTCTGTCTTGATCGATCAATCACAGTTTCTCAGCTATGGCAATTTGAAGATGCATGGAATTCAATTTCTAGAATTTCCCAGCCAACATGCTGGTTGGGGAATTCTGAGTGTTAAAAGTCCACATATCTTCAAGCTGTCAAGGTTGTAAAACACTGCTCTAGAATTGGAGGTGCTGTTGCATCCTATTTTGATAGGGGAGATAGGAAGTTGGCTTAAACTGGATTGATTTGAGGTATGCAGGGAGAAACAGTCATATTGAGTTAAATAAATTGAAGCACTAGGTCTTTACATAACTGCCATTTTCAGCTTCAGGGACACCTACATTATTAGAGGCAAAAATCCCCCAAAGTAGGGTTTTTAAAAATACTTCTTGTTGATAAATTTAATCCATGCTTTTAAAAAAACAGAATGGAACAAGGAGTTGGCAGATTTCCATTTTGCCTAAACAGTGGGAAAGCGTCCAAACATCTTTACTGAAAATTTCATTAAATCTTAGATCTTTCATCCTGATTGGGTCCCATTACAAAAGGAGAGTATTGTTGGAGATGCCATGAGAAGAATAGATTTTTGTACCATCCTAAAATTGCTATCTTCTGACAAAATATCATTCCACATATTCAGTTGACTTTGAGACAGGTTTTAATAGTTTGGTCATCAGTACTCTTTTGAACTATATACCTATTACATGGAAGTGATGGCTGAGCAACAAAAATGGATTTTCTGTATCTTTCTGATTGCTAAAAGTCTTGCCTTTTCACATTGGAAGCAGTTATGGCCCCAATTACTTAATGAATTGAAGACATGATGTTACTGGGAATTATGAAGTTGCTTACAGATGTATATTATGCATGGATACAGTAGTTCTAATGGAAAATGATAATCATGTACTCTATATAATTATGTAAATGCATGCATGAGAGGTGCTTGAATATATATATATATATATAAAGTGCCATTTTGTTGTTTTGTTTTTTATTGTTTTCCTTTTCTATTCTTTTTAATTATATATATGCATGTGAAACATATTCTTTTTAAAGAAAAAAGTCTAGTCCAGGAGTAAATTTAGTGCCTAGGTATGTAGCAGCCTTATTTATGCAACTACTCCAGGTACTTAATAAAACTTGAGCAAAATTGATGGGAATATAAAACAAGCCGATCCAAACACCATGTAAATTGACCCAAAATATCTGAAGCTCCCGTGCTTTTAGGCTGTTGGAAATACAACTTGGAAGAGAAGTACCTTGGCTTCTAGTAACTGGCTTCCAATATACTGTATATATATTTGAACAAGAAAAGCTTGTGGGAATTTTCTGTAAAGAAGTGAGTGGGGAATGAAACTAGCTCTGGAGCAAATGGAAGAAGTTTAATAGTGCAGTAATTGGGCAATGACATTTGCATAAAATAGCAAAATTCTAAGATCTTGCTCTGCAGCATGCTATCATTTGCTCACCCTTTGGCACCACGCCTCTTCTGCATGCTAGGTATTTCTTGTTTCTACTGTTTTGTGTAACTATTAAGTTAATATTTTCTAACCCCTTAGATATGAGTGACATGGATTCATACAAGATTCTTCTGGATGGGCCAGCACCATGGGGGTTCAGACTGCAGGGTGGCAAGGACTTCAATATGCCACTCTCCATTTCCAGAGTAAGTAGTATCATCTAAAGCCCCGTTAACGGAACTGTTGTGTTTTTCATTTCTCCCTCTACCATGCACACTTCGGAGGATATTGAGACATTGCAGTTACTGTGTTACTTCATCCTTTTGGTTGCAAACATTGGAGTTAAAATGTTCACAGCAATTTGTGGGCTTGTGTTTTGCTCACCAAACCAAGCAAGGCCCTTCCCTCAGGAAACTGCCAGTTTGGATTGCTCCCATGATGTAATGAGAAGGTCCTCAGCATTTAGGCTGTTACTTGATATCTGGCTCTTGAAGCTCCCACACACTATTTTTGAGTCTGTGGCAATAGCTCTTGCCATGTGGCTAGGTGGAGATAGCAGTACAGGAAGGGATTGTGGTAATATGAATACACATGCCTGCAGTTCCAAATGTGTTGGCAAGATGTGTAATTTAGTTGATCCAGAGGGCAGCAGTTTCTGTTTGACACATTACTGGCAGCTGATACTTGTTGGTAGCTAATCAATCTTGGTTTTTTCCCCAGCTGTTGGGTTTGGGCTTTTTTTTAGGTTCCCTTTTGCAAATTCATGAGGTTTCCACTTAGGCAAAATAAGACTGAGTTTTGTAGCAGGATAAGAATAAGATGCAGAGCTTCTCTTCTCCAGAAGATCTTTTTGGAGATTACTCGCTCTAAGCTCAGTCTCTGCATCTCCAAAATGAAATTTATGGGAGCCACTCTCACTTTCCCTGTTCATTTTTTTTTTTTACATATTCTGCAGGAAAGCCTATAGATTTTCTTTCCTGCTAGAGACTGTGGGCCGAGAAGGCACAAGACAGTATAAATAACGTCTTACTAACCTGGCACTCTCTGGCATTTATTTTATTGATTATTTATACTAATCCTTTCTGCTTATGGAAGCCACCAAGCAGATATCCTGGGACTCTAGCTCTCAATGTTACCAATCAGCATGGCAAACTTTTCGGAGCGACAAGTAGGGTTTGAGATTACAAAGAACCATGTTTTGGGAATGTTCAATTCAAATACCAATGCAGCTGTAATTTGGCAAAACAGCGTTAAGATGAATACTTTTTAAATGCCTCAGCTTCTCATGCCTCATGCAGAAATCTCAACTGTCTCTTTATAAGGCAATAACGAATGCATGAAGGGCCAGTTTGATATTGGGATTAAAAGCAGGTGATGATGAGTTCTAGTCTTGCCTTAGGCACGAAGCCAATTGGGTGACTTTGGGCAAATCAGTCTCTCCGTGTACTGAGAAGAAAGCAGAGATGGACCATTTCTGATAAATTTCACTAAGAAAACTAATGGGCTCGTCTATGTAGTTCCTGGGACTGACATCCCCCCTCCAAAAAAAAAAAAAAAAAATCATGAAGAAGGTTTCGGCCACAGAGCAAGTGCCACAAAGTCTGCTTTATTGTTAAGATTAGTAACCAACCGCCCCTTGGGATCCGCAGGTATTTTCTCAGTGTTTCCTTTTGTTCATTATTAAGTGTACCTTGGGCTTTGTTTCTGGGCTTACTGTCACCCACTGTGGATCGTTCTTGACCTGAAAGTGCCTCTGGGGTTGATTTGGCTGCTTACAAAGCTGTCACTGGATGGCTTGCAGACAATTCCCCCCTCTCCTTGGAATTGCCTTATAAGCCTAGGAATGCTGAATGCAACCACCGCTGACGCCTGCAGCTCTTTGGCAAAGCAGAAGGTTTCTTTATGAGCTAGAAGCCCTCAGGGCTGGAGAAGGGCACCATGAAGTCTCCCAGAGCCAGACACCTCCTCCCCGAGCAAACCCGCCCCTAAATTTTGTTTTTGTGCCTCTCACCCTCCGGATCACCTCTTTCGTTCCAGTTTGGTTCGTCTGGGGCAGTCCTGTTTATATTCTCTGCTTGGCTATTCTTGCAAAAGTGTTCTTCTAGCCCATCTCAGGGGAATGAAGCCCTGCTTTCCTGCTAGGAGGGTTTTCTGCTGAAACAGCCCCAGCTATTCCCACTCCCCTCCCTCTTCTCGTTTTGGAAAAAGATTTCTCTTGGCTCACAGCCAGCTCTTAACAAAGCCCCAGCCTAGACAGGGTAGAGCTGTTCTGTGGCCAGACCCCAGCTAGTGCCTCCCACAAGCATACCAGACAAGAATTGCAGCCCCTCTCCTTGGCCCTAGCATGCCACAGCAGCCCATCCCTTTTGCAAGCAAGGTGGGCCCTTCTTTAGTGGTCAGGCCTTGGGAAACTTTTGCTTCCTCTACTGTTGTGGCTCGCTGCATTTGCCAGCAGGCATCATGGCTAAGAATAGTTGGTATCCCTCCCTCCCTCCCTCCCTTCCTTCCTTCCTTCCTTCCTTCCTTCCTTCCCTCCCTCCCTCCCTCCCTCCCTCCCTCCCTTCCTTGGGCAAAGGTAGATGGCTACCACTGGCCTGTGTTCTGGCAGAGCACCATTGTCTATTTTGGCAAGCTTCAGAGGGAATATGGTGCAGGGATTCATTGCTGATTCTGGCAGTATTACATATTTCCACTAGAGTTGCCTCGTTTTACTTTTGCCCTTCCAAAAATGATGTCTTTATTTTTCAATATATGCTTTTCTCTTCTTGGTTAAAAAATTAAAATGTTAATTTCCTTTTCTGCTTAATAAATGCTGGGAAATTTGTGCAACTTCCGGAAGGAGTTGGTCAGGTATGTCGATTGTGACGTATCAGGAATGATTAAGTCGGGATTTTTTCTGTTAAAAATTAATAAGGCATTTGGGTGAAAAAATGCTAAAGATGTCTTTTGGTCAAGCTGGATATTCTGTGACTACATGGACCAGGTTGAGGCTTACAGTATAATAAAAAGGAAAGGGGCCATAGAGCTATTCAAAGACTGAAGGTGAAACTTGTTGCTTTCTAAAGGAAACTGAATTGCAATTCTCAGCCAGTGTGATCTTAGTGAGGACTTCGGGATTTGTAGTTCAGTAAAACCTTTGTTTCATAAAACTCGGACGGTATGTGAGAACTTGATGGAATTTTGTAAGACTAAGGACAAAATAATACGCTCCGTTGCCAATATTCTTATCACTAGAGTTTTGCCTCTTTCTTTCTTTTTAAATGGAAACTTAATCCATGTGCAGGGGCCATGCTAATCATCTCTATATCATTACAATTTTAGTATACGTGCTGCTGAAGCAAGCACACTAGAGCTTTACTTCTTGATTAGAAATGCTGGAAAAATTACCTTTAACCAGCTTCTTGGTCTAAAACAGTTTGAAAACCCCTGATTTTGATGGCTGTAGTACCCCAAGTATGATATGAGTAAAACCATAGGGCAGAAGACAGAGGTTTCAGAGCACAAAATGCAGAAACTTCTGGCATTGAAAATAAATAGTGGAATGCAAATAGTGGAATGCACTTGGTATCTCCCATTCAAGTATTAGTAAAACATCTGTGAGATATTGAACATACCCTTAGTCATGTGTGCAGGACTGCCTAGCATATTTAGAGTTTTCAATAGATGTGACCACATACAAGTTTCTATAGCAGTGGTTCTCAACCTTTTTAATGCCGCGACCCCAACCAGTCGTAAGTCGAGGACTAAACCGGTCGTAAGTCGAGGACTAAACCGGTCGTAAGTCAAGGACTACCCAACCGGTCGTAAGTCGAGGACTTTCCCTGCCCGGGAGCGTGCGCATGCGTGGTTCCGCCCCCTGCGCTGGCCGAGGCGCAGCTGGCAAGCGGCAGAGACGGAGCAGGCCGACCACCAGCTGGCCCAGCCCAAGGGAGGTAAGGCACCTGCCGGAAAAGGGGGAAAAAATGGCGGACAAAAAAAATGGCGGACAAAAAAAAATGGCGGACAGCCTTGCTTGGCGACCCCCATGAAATGGTCGATCGACCCCAAATGGGGTCCCGACCCACAGGTTGAGAACCACTGTTCTATAGTCTCTAAGTCTATAATAATAATGATGATGATGATGATGATGATGATGATGATGATGATGATGATGATGATGATGATGATAAAGTTGGAAGGGACCTTGGAGGTCATCTAGTCCAACCCCCTGCTCAGGCAGGAAACCCTATACCATTTCGGACAAATGGCTGTCCAGTCTCTTCTTAAAAACTTCCAGTGTTGGAGCGTTCACCGCTTCTGGAGGCAGGTTGTTCCACTGGTTAATTGTTCTAACTGTCAGGAAGTTTCTCCTTAGTTCTAGGTTGCTTCTCTCTTTGGTTAGTTTCCACCCGTTGCTTCTTGTCCTGCCTTCAGGCGCTTTGGAAAATAGCTTGACTCCCTCTTCTTTGTGGCAGCCCCTGAGATATTGGAACACTGCTATCA